AATTTATTTTTTTTTTTTTTTTGTCTTCACCACCTGGCTACTGTTGTAAAATGTTGAGATTCCAAAAAAAAAAAAATCAATAAATAGAACAAAATAAAAAATAAAAACTGCAAGTGACGTCAATTGCGGAAGCGCAAGTGTCCGAGAGTGCAAGTCTGCAGCCAGACCCTGTTGAAAAATTTACCCTTATGACTGGTTTTGTGGTCCAGGGTCACATATATTTAACCTGGAGACATATTTACTCCTTTGGCTTGCCATATGATGGATGCATTTGAAGGCTGATTGATTATGTGGCAGCTGTTTTCAAAACCATACTTTTGAAAAAGCACCCATTTAGTCAGAAACTTGACAACTGGATCATGCTCGAGTTGTTCTGTTCAGTCGGTTCTTTTTTTAATTGTCTTCATCACACAAATCGTATTGGTTCTTGAGAATTGTAATAGCTGTATGGATTGCTTTTTGTATGCTTGTTTTGGTCTTTTTTCATTTTTGGACCAACAAACTGTCCTGCATTTACATTTGCAAAATCTGACATTTATAATCTAGTGTGCTCAACGAAAGAAAACATGGCCCTCAGGTTACGCTAAATATAAATTTTTATTCTTAAAAACCATACACAATACTCGACAAGTTTAAAATGTAAGTTAAATCACGATATCCATTTACATTGCGCAAGATAAACAGACATGTTCTTTTGTTTCCAAACTTGAAAAAAAAAAATCCTTAAAACAGATGGATAAACATTCATTCCCATTATAGGAAGACGCTATAGAAAAAAGTTATCGATTTTTTAAATATCTGCTCTAAATTGCAAACTTAAGCAGTTTTTTTATTTATTTATTAAACATGAAAAACGAAATAACTTATTCAAAAGAACAGAACAAAAAAATGTGCAGTTGCGATGACTGAAGAAATGCAAATCTCTTTCTCCTGTTTTTCTTCCTTTATTACACCCTTAATGAACCAACGAGTGGAGAGCAGCAACAGTCTGAACTGGAACCCTGCTGCCAAAAAATAAATCTACTCCTAAACATTACAAAAAACACAAAACATGTTAGTATTTTGACCACAAGTTTCATGCTATAAGCCACCCTGAGTGTTATATTACTTGGAGAACCAATCACGACCCACCCACCTGTGAATATAATTTATGTAAAATCCCTGTAGGTCTGGTTCAGCAGGTTGAGATGTTATTGCCGCATAAAAATACAATTTATTTATATGGTATCAAAATGTTCCTTGGGAATCTGAAGTACCCTGTGCTGTGATACCAGTGTTATATGCATGTTTTCTCGAAAATTCTTCGTTTCCTTTGGGTTTCCAGTATTTCAGGTCTTAAATATATTCTACAAACAATTGCAGCAATATTTTCTTAACTGACAGCAATCTTTATGGAACATAAATGAAAATATAAAGTAAAAACTTTATCATTTTTTCATATGATCAAACAAAACAAATTTTTTTTTTCAAAGAATCAAAAAAAAAAAAAAGGGAAAACAAGTTACTCATTTTCCTTTTTATTTTTCCTTTTAACCAAGACAAAAATGTACTACCTAAAAGACAATCTTAAATTAAAATGCTTTACTTTTTAATCATTGCATCCTTTTCAATTCAGTTTTCTAGGTTTCAGCCTGAGTAAACAAACTTATGATACATTGGCAGGAACTTAATGTCTTCATGTCAATGAACTGACTGGAGCATTTTTTAAAGGCGGACCTGGTGTGGCCTCCACTTCAAAATCACACCATTAAAAGCGTGAAGACGCCAGCTCCAGCCATTTCAGATACTCCATCACTTCCAAACGAGAATGAGAAATGAAATTGGAACTCAAAAATAATTTAAGGGGTGAAGTAAGTATAAGAGGAGATTTATGGACCAAAATCCTTGTCTACGGTTTCCTCCAGTCACCCGTCCAATGAAAAAAAAAAAAAACCTCCCATGGTTACCTCTGTCAATTCTATACAAGCCTTAGTGTTATCTATTTGGCTTTATTTATACAAATATATAACAAATAAAACTTGCAGGCAAAAATAGTTCGGTTTCCATAGAAACACCTTTTTTTCCTGAAAATACAGCAGTATCTGAAATATTTCTCAATTCATTTGTCCCCATTTCTCTGCATCAGGAAGCTCTTCCACCAACGAAAAGAAAAAAAGTATCTACAAACTTTGTAAACAGACCTGTGTCTTCCAAAAAAACTATTCAAAATATGAACAGCCAAATGATGCAGAAATCAGTGTTTGAATAAGCAAAGGGCAAAAAGAACAAATGTACAACACATCCAGATAAAGAGAAGCAAAAGCTAAGAGCTAAGCGCCTGAGAACTCCTTGGCTCCGCCCCTCTCATCCAATCAGTTCTCCAGGCTTTAGTCTCTGTGGAGACGAGCAGGTGTTGTGTGTCGTACCGAGGGGCGGAGCTGATCA